GGTTAAATTACTAAAAAGAGCCAAAATGTCTAATTACCTTTTACAACTTTGAAGATTAAGCTGGGCCGTAATATTTTTGTATTAACAACTCTTAACAAAATCTTAGAAAATTTACAGGGAGAGGCATATAACATTCCCCTCCCCCCCAAAAAAAATCACCATGAATGAGTGACTATGTAGCTCCTTTTTGAGAGATCATTTGTGCTTAATAAAAGTAAAGGTATGTTTAGGTTCCTGCCTCTACTAGTTTACCACCAACAGATTATTTCTCTAAAAATTTTAATGGTGAAAATTTGATGGAAGATGTAAACTAGGGATTACTAACACAGGGTTGAAAGTACTTACCTATTATCTCAGATTCATAATAATCCTGTGTGCCTTCCTGGAAGACAAGACAGGGTGTCTTTATGATTTTAGAGAATAAATTTGGTAAAATGGTAGGTCCATTTGTATGGTAAGCTCATGTCCATCAAAGAGGAATGAAAAATTTGCCTTTCCTCCTATTAGGGGTTAACTGTGTTGCACCCGGTCAATTAAAGGTTTCTTAGAAATTCTAAGTGCAGGGAAGAGTTGAAATCTAAAAAATTTTAGTATTATGCTTTTATTGGTTTATATATTCGTAACATTCTCTTTTTTTGAGACAGTCTTGCTTTGTTGCCCAGGCTAGAATGAGTGCCATGGAGTCAGACTAGCTCACAGCAACCTCAAACTCCTGGGCTCAAGCAATCCTACTGCCTCAGCCTCCCAAGTGGCTGGGACTACAGAAATTTTTTCTATATCTATTAGTTGGCCAATGAATTTTCTTTCTATTTATAGTAGAGACGGGGTCTCGCTCTTGCTCAGGCTGGTTTCAAACTCCTGACCTCGAGCAATCTGCCCACCTCAGCCTCCCAGAGTGCTAGGATTACAGGCATGAGCCACTGCGCCCAGCCCATAACATTCTTTTTAAAGATTTTACCATTTGCAGCATGAAGAAAGGTGAAAAAGCCTACATTTCAACAAAATGAAGAACACTCCACCAAAAACAAAACAAAAAACAAGCTCATGCTACATCTGTTCTTTTTCATTTTTTTCTGAGACAGGGTCTTGCTTTGTTACCTGGGATAGAGTGCAGTGGCATCACCATAGCTCACTGTAACCTCAAACTTCTGGGCTCAAGCCATCCTTCTGCCTCAGCATCCTGAGATCTGGGACTACAGGCATTTATCACCACACCCAGCTAATTTTTCTATTTTTTGTAGAGACTAGGTCTTGCTCCTGTTCGGGCTGGTCTCGAACTCCAGAGCTCAAGCAATCCTCCTGCCTTGGGCTCCCAAAGTGCTAGGATTACAGGTACAAGCCACTGCGCCTCGCCTGTATCTGTTCTTTTTTTTAATAACTAAGATGACCTTTGGATTAAGTGAAGAAATAAACTCACATGCATTCATTAATCAAACCATCTAAAGATTTTTCCCAGACCAGGGATCACAGACATACTCTATATTAGTGGATAGGTAGTCCTTGAAGTTCTCTATGAGAAATCCTTAATTTTGTGTTTTTATTTTGATGATAATCTCAAAAAGAGTAATAGTTGAATATTCTGCATAATCTAGATGAGCACTTTATAAATGTTTACAACATAACTGGGGATATAAAATGATAATGATTTGCTTGTACTAAGCAAAAGCGAAACGATACACCACAATATCTTATATATTTAAAAGTTTTTCAGTAGTTCCAATATAACAGGATTTTCAACCGGTATTTATTTTGTTTGTTTGTTTTGAGACAGGGTCTTGCTCTGTTGCCCGGATTAGAGTACAGCGGCATCATAGCTCACTGCAACCTCAAATCCCTGGGCTCACATGATCTTCCTGCCTCAGCCTCTCAAGTAGCTAGAACTAACCAGAAGTGTGTGCCACCACGCCCAGTTAATTTTTCTCATTTTTTGTACTGCTGGGGTCTTGTTACTGCTCAGACTGGTCTCGAATTCCTGGCCTCAAGTGATCCTCCCACCTTGGTCTCCCAAAGTGCTAGGATTACAGACATGAGCTACCACATCCAACCCTCAACACTATAGATTGCCACTTTTCCTCTCCATTTTGAGGAGCTTTCCTGTACACTGCAGGATGTTTAGCAGAACCTCTGGCCTCTACCCACTAGATGCCAGTAGCATCATCCCCTAGTTGTCACAACCAAAAATGTCTGCTGACATTGCCAAGTGCCCCCTGGGGCACAAAATCTCCCCAGGTTGAAAACCACTGCAATAGAGAAAAGCAGTGAGAGAACTGAGCCAATATAAGGTGTATGGGAGAATAAACATGTCAAACTCAAATGAACCACAGTTGTAACAATTTCTACTACACTCACACTGAGAGCAAAATCATTAAAACATCATATATCACATGAAATTGATGTTGCCAATGTGAATTGCATTAGTTCTGTACTTTTTCTTCACATTTAATTTGTAAATCTGCTTTGCTTTGATAGAATTTTTCCCCTTAAAAAGCAAGTCCTTTTTTCCTTATGTTTGAGGAAGAAAAAAGGAAAGGGAAAGGAAAGGAAGGAAAGAAAGAAAGAAGCAAGTCTTTACATTTCAGTATAGGTACCTTTTAAAAAAAAGGCAATTCTATACATTATTCAAGTTGTTTTTATCTTTACACTCAAGGTCTTCCTCTGTCATTCAGGCTGGAATACAGTGGCCTGATCATAGCTCACTTTAGCCTCAAACTCCTGGGCTCAAGTGCTACTCCTGCTTTAGCCTCCCAAGTAGCTAGGACTTACAAAGGTACACGACACTGCACTCAGTTAATTAAACAAATTTTTTTATTTTTATTTTTAGAAATGTATGATTCACCTTGCCTGGCCCATTATTCTAGTTTACTTTTCCTAATATACTTTTCTTCTAGTTGAGACTTTACTCGAAAGTCCTTTCTAAATGTTCTTTTTGTGACTAAAGTATCTTCTGGGGTCTTTTAATATATCACAGACACTTCTTGTTTTTTTTTTTTTTTTTTAAGACAGAGTCTCACTCTGTTGCCCAGGCTAGAGTGCTGTGGCATCAGCCTAGCTCACAGCAACCTCACACTCCTGGGCTCAAGGAATCCTCCTGCCTCAGCCTCTTGAGTAGCTGGGACTACAGGTATGCGCCACCATGCCCGGCTAATTTTTCTATATATATTAGTTGGCCAATTAATTTCTTTCTATTTATAGTAGAGACGGGGTCTCGCTCTTGCTCAGGCTGGTTTCGAACTCCTGACCTCAAGCAATCCTCCTGCCTCGGCCTCCCAGAGTGCTAGGATTACAAGCATGAGCCACCGCGCCCGGCCAACGATGATTCTTTGAAAGAGTAACAATCAATATATCTTGTCCATATATATGATCTCTAAATTTCTCTTCTTTGAATCAGGCAGAGCTTATAATAAATATATTAAAACAACATCCAAAAGTATGTAATAAGTCGAAATGTTGTCTTGAATACAATGCTATCACAGTGGAAGAATCTTAATTGGTTAGGTGTGGTTAAATACAGAAGAGATTGTTGCAAAAAAGTATAATACCACAACTAGCCTATAAACTCTACCTACCTATTCTAGTATGAGCAAAACTTAGTCAAAGATTGCCTTTTACCTGTGCACTGAAATCTTAGGTTGGTTGGAAGATGAAGGGTAAAAAATAAAATCTTCGTTCAAAAGGTCCAGCTTAAGAAATATCATTCCAGCAACGCTCATAAATTTTCCAAGTTTAACAAATACAATTATTATACCCTCCCCAAGACCTAGCAAATAATGTTAAAGTCACCCAAGATCGAATGGCTTGAAATTCTTTAATAAGCCACAACTGTCCTATAGACCAAATGATTCATTTCCCCCTACTAAAATCTCCCAGGGGAATTACTGCCATTTTTCAAATACCAGTAACTAGTTAGGTACAAATTTCTTCTCTAAAACAATAGAAAAAAAAAAAGACTATAAAGAAAATATAATTCATTTCTCAGCTCTTCAACATGCAGCATGAGAGTTTTATGTTGAAGTCAAGACAGCATCTGATTTTATTTTCTTTCTCAAGATTTATCTACCTTCCAAGGTATACTAAATAACAAAATGACTTCCTGATAGGAAATAGTAGCCAATAAACATGAACTCTTCCAAATAGAAGTTGAAAAAGGCCACAGTCTGGGATAGGATACCTCTTCAAAAGTTCTAACATGTTCAGAAAAGGGAAGAAATGGAAATAAAGCTCCCAATGATTCTCAGCTGAATTACCAAATTAAAGTTTAGGAATCACTCAAAATCAAAAACATTATACAAGATTTATAAAACACAATTCTTCATTCTACTTTAACACATTGACTGCCACAGTAGAAAACAAAATTTTTTCCTTGGGGCCATGGTGTTTATTACGAAAACAGAATATAAACTTTGGAAACAAAACGATCCTTTCTAATTTAATGAAAACTTTGTTATTTTTTATTGTTTTCTGTGTTTTTTTGATAAAAAGATATAAAAACTTGAAAATTAGTAATGTAAAAAGTAATGTGAAAACTTGAAAAATAGTTCATAAGGGTAAAGTGTTTTCCTTGACTCATCAGGCTTCAGTGTAATTTAAAGGTAAGCACAAATAGAAAAAAGAAATTTCTTGACTTCTATTCATTTAATCCACGTTTTTAGAATTAAATTGTCAATATTAACTAACAATAAGAACATCAACAAGTAAGATTTTCATGAACCAACTGCAGGGGTTTGCCCAGGTTTTGCTTCATGAGGCCCCAGGCTCAAAACTAGCTTCAGTTAAATACAACTCACATGGCAGTTAATGTGTTAAACAGTGGGGGAAAAGATAGGAGGCGTCTATTATCAAGATTTCTGCCACTGGAAAAAAAATCAAGTATGTCATATGATCTCGGATAAAGATTGGCAGACACAAAAACCAGAGACGCCAAGTTTTTTGGGTATGCTCATAAAATTCAACACTTAACAATAAAGTATCTTTTTCTTTGTTAGGAAGTAACTATTCCTCACCTGCTTGTGTGCATGATCATAGGAGTTGATATGGTTGTCAAATTCCTGATGTTTCTGATATTGCTTATCACAGAGTTCACAGTAAAAGTTGGCTCTGAGGTCTTCTAAGGCTTTGGCAATTGCCTTCTCTTTGTCAACATAATCCTGTAAGAATCACAAAATACAAACAAACAAAAAATTAACTTAGTAGAATTTTAAGTGAATGTTATTTAAAAAAAAAAAAAAGTCTACCTGAGAAGAGAAACAAGAGCTTTTCATAAAATTTAGTGGTACCAACCAAAGCTAGATGAAACACAAATGACAATCTGGTGGAGTAATATGTGTATGGCTATACTAACAGTTGGCTTCAAGTAAATAAATGTTTAGAAGAGTTTAATTTTCCTTCACTTTTGGCAATATGGTAGACTAGATACTCTGGCATCCCCATTTCCTACCTTTGGCTAAAAACCAACCACATTCAATAAAATAATTTTTATTGTATTGCCAGAACCACAGAAAGTAAGAAAATCCCCAAGAGGGGCAACAGGCGAGGAGAAGAGAAAAAAACAAAACCAAACCTCAGCTATGGGCCAGGCCTAATGGCTCACGCCTGTAATCCCAGCACTCCGGGAGGCCAAGGTGGGAGGATCGTTTGTGCTCAGGAGTTCAAGACCAGCTCCTGAGCAAGAGAGAGACCCCGTGTCTCTACTAAAAATAGAAAGAAATTACCTGGACAACTAAAAAATATATAGAAAAAATTAGCCGGGCATGGTGGCATATGCCTGTAGTTCCAGCTACCCGGGAGGCTAAGACAGGATTGCTTAAGCCCAGGAGTTTGAGGTTGCTGTGAACTAGGCTGATACCACAGCACTCTAGCCAGGGCAACAGAGTAAGACTCTGTCTCAAAAAAACAACAATAAAACAAAAAAAACTCAGCTATGATCTAGGTCTGAAACTGAAATCAGAGCTCCAAAGAGAAAGTGCTCTCCTTCAGACATATGGGTGAAACTGGGGCTTAGGCTTTGAGCAAGGTGGAGAGCTAAACCGGAGATCTGTCATTAAACAAAAGAACACGGAAGGAAGTGGGCTGAAGAGATCCTAGGAGCTCTGTGTCTTGGCAGAGGGAACCAAAAATCTTCTCAGAAAGCATCTTCAATTTTGTCCCTAAAAATTTTCCTAGATTAAGTTTAACTAGTAATTACAATTAAGTATCACCACCATACACATAGGAAATAAATCTATCATAAGATTTATCTTCTGAGAGTCGGAAGAAATAAGCAACAAATTTAGGCCCCTAAGATCTCAGATATAGTCTGTTACAGAATATAAAGCAAATATAAATTGTTTAAAGTAGAATTACAACAATGAGCAAGCATAAAACACTATAAAAAATGAGGCAAACTACAGAAAGAATTGAGACTTTTTCAACTTAAAAACATAATTGTAGTGCTTGCTTCGGCAGCACATATACTAAAATTGGAACGATACAGAGAAGATTAGCATGGCCCCTGCGCAAGGATGACATGCAAATTCGTGAAGCGTTCCATAAAAACAAAACAAACAAAACCACATAATTGTAGAAAATAACCCCTCACCCAAATAAAAACCCCTAAAACAGATTAGATACAGCTCAAAAGAGATGTAATAAGGTGATAAAAATGTTCTGGAATCAGATCATAGGAATAGTTGCATAATCTTGTGGAATATACCAAAAACCACTGAATTGTAGATGTTAAAAGGGTGAATTTTATGGTATGTAAATTATATCTCAATTTTTTTTCAAAAACAGATGTAAACTAGAAGACAGATTAAAATAAATTACTTGGCTAGATGCAGTGGCTCACGCCTGTAATCCTAGTATTCTGAGAGGCGGAGGCAGGAGGATTGCTCAAGGTCAGGAGTTCGAAGCCGGCCTGAGCAAGAGTGAGACCTCGTCTCTACTAGAAATAAAAAACGAAATTAATTGGCCAACTAAAAATATATAGAAAAAATTAGCTGAACACGGTGGCACATGCCTGTAGTCCTAGCTACTTGGGAGGCTGAGGCAGAAGAATTGCTTGAGCCCAGGAACTTGAGGTTACTGTGAGCTAGGCTGACGCCATGGTACTCTAGCCCAGGGAAGAGAGTGAGACTCTGTCTCAAAAGAATAAATAAATAAATTACTGAAATTGTAGCACAGAGACAAGGAAACAGATAATAATGAAAATGAGGTTAAGAGTCATGGAGAACAGAATAATACATATACAACTGAAACCCCAGAAACAGAGAATGAAGCATAGATGAAAGTAAAATATTTGAAGATATAAAGGTTGAGGTTTTTCCAAACCAATGAAAGACAAGATTCCACAGACACAGGATGTACAAAGTATACCAAGCAAGCTAAATAAAACAAAATACCTATCTAAACACACTCTGGTGAAATACAAGGGACCAAAGTTAACAAAATCATAAATCTACCCAGAAAAAAAAATATCACCTACAATCAGACTAGCAGCAGATTCAAAAGCAACAACAGAAACTATAGTGGAATAATATCTACAGTGTGCTAAAAGAAAATATTTTTACTTACATACCAAATGAAAATACTTTTCAGAATTGATGAAACGAAGGCATTTCAGATAACAAAGTTGACTACACAGATTCATAAAAAAGAAATTTCTGCTGGGCATGGTGTTTCACGCCTGTAATCCCAGTGACTTGGGAGAAATGCTTGAGCCCAGGAGTTTGAGGTTGCTATGAGCTGTGATACCCCACTGCACTCTACCTGTGGCAACAGAGTGAGACTCTGTCTAAAAAAAAGGAAAAAAAGTAAGCTAGGGGTGGTATTCATAGTTCCAGCCACTGGAGAGGCTAAGGCAGGATGATCACTTGAGCCCAAGAGTTCCAAACTGCAGTAAGCTATGATTGTACCACTGCATGCAAGCCTGGGTAGCAGAGTGAGACCCTGTTTCTAAAAAATAAATACATATTTTAAAAATCTTCTAAAGCAGTATTTTTGAAACCGTAGATTGTGACCCACTAGTAGGTCATGGTATCAATTTCATAGATTGTAATAGGCATAAAAAAAGAGAAAAAACAAGAACAGAAAAATAGTTTATTGCACATAATAAGGGTAAATATTGTTTTGCAAAACTTTTGTTTCAGGTAAGTGTATGTGGTTGCAATATTAAACGTGTTTCTTACTATGGACTTGAAAGTCACTGTTTTAAGGATGTACTTTAGGGAAGAGGAAAACTGATTCCAGAAAAAGGTCTGAAATACTAAAAGTAAATGATAAACAATTAATAAATATATAGGTTGTTAATAATAATATAACAGTAACAAAACTATAACTTCTAGTTTGCAGGACGAAAAAGGGATAAAAGCAAAATGGTAGCTAATATAGCAAATATAATAGGAGAGGTTGTTTGAAGCTGAAAGTGTTCTAGAATCCTACTGGTTGGGATAGAATTAACTGTAGACTTTGTTAAATTAAGCATAACTTATATTAAAATTTCAAGAGTAATCATTAGAAGATCAGAGGTAGTAAAGGAGGAAAGAATAAGAAAACTCCAATTTTATAAAGGTAAGATGAGACCATAAAGACACACAGTTCAGGAAAGTAGAAAGTAAAAAGTTGGTAGAACACATTTATGAGTAATCATAAGAAATATAAATGTACTAAAAAAAAACTGTCAGAAAAACAAAGTCCAACTACATGTTGATTAAAAGAGATATACCCCCAAAACATGATGAATTGGAAAGATGAGAGATACAGAATGGGAAAAGATATGTCAGACAAGTACTAATCTGAAAAGGTTGTGCATTCCTAATATGAAAATTAAAAATCTAAAATGCTCCAAAATCCAAGACTTTTTTGAGCACTGACATGATGTTCAAAGAAAATACTTATTGGAGCAGTTCAGATTCTGGACATTTTGGATTAAGATATTGAACTGATAAGTATGATGCAAATATTCCAAACTCTGAAATCCAGAACACTTCTGGTCCCAAGCATTTTGGATAAGGATGCTCAACCTGTGTTATTATTTCCAGTTTTTTGACTTTTTTATTTTTTCTTTCAATTTCAGTTTGGATAATTTCCATTAACTTGTCTTCAAATTTACTCATTCTATCTTCTGTTTCTAGTCTTCTGATAATAAGCAACTGAACCAATTCTTCACCTTTGATACTGTATTTTTCTTCTTGCTAGGTGATTTAATTCATTTCCTGTGACATTAGATATCCATATGCCGATCTCTCTCAATCCTATATCTCTTGCTGAGACAACCCCACATTCCAGAGTTGAATATTTTGATGGCTATCTTCACTGGCTATACATCAGGCACCACATATTTAAGATACCCCAAGTGAAACTCATCCCATCTAGACAATCTGTTCTTTCATCTTTATTTCCTTTATATCTTTCACATCTAATCAATTACTGGGTATTGTTTTGTTTTGTTTGTTTGTTTTTAGACAGAGTCTTGCTCTGTTGCCCCAGGTAGGGTACAGTGGTGTAATCATAGCTCATTGCAACCTCAAACTCCTGGGCTCAAACGATCCTCTTACCTCAGCCTCCCCAGTAGCTGGGACTATAGGTACATACCACCACACCCAGCTAATTTTTCTATTTTTAGTAGATATGGGGTTTTGCTCTTGCTCAGGCTGGTCTCAAACTCTGGACCTCAAGCAATCTTCCTGCCTCAGCCTCCTAGAGTGCTAGGATTACAGGTCTTAGCCTCCTTGTCTGGCCCAATTACCAGTTTTTTAATCAACCTATTATTAGTATATGACAGAAGGTGGTTAAAAAATATTCCAAGATGTTATATTGCCCATGGGAAAGGTAAAGTAAAATCTGGTAAGTTAGTATATACATTGCAATTTCTAGGGAAACTACTAAAATAACAGTAAGAGTATGATAAAAACAATCAATCCAACAACAAAAAAAGTAAAAATAAAGAGAAAAAGAAGCAGGGGGAAAAAGAACAAAAAGAGAAGGCAAGATGACAGATTTAAATCTAAATATGTCAGAAATGACATTAACTATACTTAGATTAAATGCTCCAATTAAGATACTGGGGAGCCAGGCATGGTGGTTCATGCCTATAATCCCAGCACTTTGGGAGGCTGAGGTGGAAGGATTCCTTGAGGCTAGGAGTTCAAGACAGCCTGGGCAACATAGT